TTCCTTTGCCGGACAGCTACTTCCGCAGGAGAGCATAGGCTGGGATGGGGGCAGACCAGACTAGGCAGAGCTACCACACCTGTGCGCCTCATGTGAACTAGATCAGGGAAAAGCCGGGCTGGGTGGATTATTCCTACTGGTGCAAACAAAATTAAAGTGGGCAAGGGTTGTTTGGGCTTAGCCGCAGCATCAACTGGAATCTGGGAGTGGGAGAGGCCTGGGAGGGAAATAGTGGGCTCATCCCTCTTGGGTTACCACTTCCACAGGAGGACATAAAACTAAGATAGCGGCTGGGGTAGAATGGGATGTGGGACAGACTAGATTACTGCTACACATACTGACAAACCAGGGTAGGGGGCGGGCCTGGTGGGGGTTATTGTGGGTCGCTCCAACTAGGCTGCAGCTCCCACTGGTTTATGTGAGGGCCAAGTATGTGCTGGACAGAACCAGGCTGGACTGCAACACCCATTGGTTCCAGTGGAAGTCGAGAGTGAAAACAGAACCAAACCAGCAATTGCAACCACCAGCTGATTGGAGCAATGGATGGTGCCAGGCCCTGTACTTGTTAGCACATACAAGAAGTTTCTTTGGAGATCTTCCTAATCTAAATGCTGGACTCAGAACCCTAACCAAGAAAAGAAAGAAGACAGAACAGGTCAACCAACCATCTCAGCTATGATGGACTATGTCAATCAGTGGATTTTTTAAAGACCTCATAGTGCTTGGAGTGGTAAGATTGACAGCGATTCATAACTGTTGCAATATCAAAACCACTTGAGCAAGAACCTCAGAGCATGCCCTACATTCGGGACCTGGGGAGGGTGGGAAATTGGGTGCGCTTCTCCCTTAAATACCCCCCTTTAAATATGAAGGTAACAATATGGAAAACATACTAGTATTATCCACTTTCCTGTAGCCCTTGAACCTTCTTACCCTAATTAAATATGTAAAGAAAAAAAAAAAGAAAATCTGTAATAAATGTAGCATCTACAGTGCCTCCAAAGTGAGAGTCACTGTCCCATGAGAATGTCTGACTGCGACCTGTGCAATCACAGGTGGCGGTCTGAGGAGTTACTGAAGGTCTTCTGGAAGGAAGTGACATAATCCTGGGTGGCTCCTGTGTGGAGGGGACAGGAAAAGAGATCAGGGAACTCTTTTGAAGGCAGATCCTAGAATGTTTTGGAAGCAAAGAGACTAGATGAAACGATGGAGAGGGTGAGAGGGCAGTGACTCAGCAACTTTGTCTGACTGCCATTTTATGGACCAGAGCTTCTGGAGGGAGAAGACAAGGAAATCCAGGTATTTGTCCACTCCCCTTCTATGTCCTGATAGAACCAGAAGTTAACTAGAGCCTTTTGCTTTTCCAAAATAGGTATCCTCAGGATAGATAGCTGTTATCTTCAAGGACAATGACAGAGTCTTCTTTATCATTCAGGTTTTAGAGTTGGGTAAATTTAAGCTCACGGTTTACTAATATGTTGAAGTGCTTCTGTGTAATCGGAACTCTGCCAGACCCATTTCAACATTATCTCATTTCCTCCACTCAGCAGTCTACAAGGTCGCTCCTATTTTTATCTTTATTTTCCAGAAGACTTATGAGGCTCCACCAGATCTTATCGCTTGACAGAGTACCAGGGTTACAGGTCCAAGTCAGGAGCGGATCCTACTGCTTTTCAGGGACTTTGAAGCCCTTGTTTGTATCAGTGTGGTCACAGTGCCACCCACTATAACTTCCTGCCTTGATAGTAACATTTTAAGAATACTAATTTATTTGGGCCCGATGCAATAGTTCAATAGTTAAATCCTCACCTTGCAAAGTGTCAGGATCCCTTATGGGTGCCGATTCATGTCTTAGCTGCTGTACTTCCCTTCCAGCTTGCTGCTTGTGACCTGGGAAAATAGTAGATAACAGTCCAATGCCTTGGGACCCTGCACCGGTGTGGGAGTCTTGGACAGCTCTGGCCATTTGGGGAATAAATTCTGATCTCTCTGTAAATCTGATCTTTCAATTAAAAAGATATTTTCTTTTTAGAATTTTTTTTACTGGAAAGACAGATTTACAAAGAGAAGGAAGGGAGAGGGGATCTTCCATCTGATGGTTCATTCCCCAAGTGGCCACAATGGCAGAAGCTGAGCCACTCTGAAGCAAGAAGCCAGGAGCTTATCTAGGTCTCTCATGTGAGTCCAGGGGCCCAGGCCCTTAAGCCATCCTCCACTGCTTTTTCAGGCCACAAGCAGGGAGCTGAAATAGGAAGTGGAACAGTTAGAACACATGCTAGCCATATGATGGCAATATTTTATATCTGCACCATTCAACAGTTACGTGGCTATTAAACACTTGAAATGTGATGTTTGACCTGGGAACTCATGTTATCATTGAATTAATCTAATATGTGGTGTCTACCATATGGATCAGCAGTATTCCAAATAGGTTATAATTTATGTGGGCATCCAGTTATGGATATGTGGGCATAAATGCATTTTATAACTATGTTTCAGTCTTTATTTCACATTTTATAGCACCAACTATGTGCAAGGTACATGCTTTCCATGTATTTATTTAATATTCATGATTCTGTGAAATAGACACGTCTATTATTTTCATTTTACAGATGAGAAATTTAGATAATATTTGGATGTAGCCAAGGACACAGGTAGTTGGGCCCAAAGCCAAGATCTGTCTGGGGTTAGTCTGGTTTCTATCCACGCACTTCACAGGAGGTTGAGTAAGCATTGCCAGAGGGGAAAGAGGCAAACTTATTGCTGAAGGTGGTGAGTGACCACAATTTTTGGTGCCTAAGGACTTTGCCAGCATTCCCAATTTCGAAATTCAAAGGAACGTTAGAGTTCACTTACTTTAGACTGTTTTTTATTTTTTTCTAGGAACAGATTTTACAGGCATGTAAGCAAGAGGTACAGCAATGGCTAAAACGAGAGTTTTGGGGGGCATTTGTACAAATTTTTAATTAACAGAAATAAACTGAAATGAACTTGTGTTTGATCGTGATCCTATTAACTCTCTCTGGTTAAAAGAAGAAAATGTTAGGCCTGGCACCGTAGCCTACTGGCTAAAGTCCTCGCCTTGCAAGCAAGCCCAGGATCCCACATGGGCTTAGGGTCATATCCCAGCTGCTCCACTTCCCATTCAGCTCCCTGCTTGTGGCCTGGGAAAGCAGTCGAGGACCTGCACCCGCGTGGGAGACCCAGAAGAGGCTCCTGGCTCCTGGCTTCGGATTGGCTCAGCTTCAGCAGTTGCGCTCACTTGGGGAGTGAATCATCGGAGAGAAGATCTTCTCTCTGTCTCTCCTCTGTACATCTGCCTTTCCAATAAAAATAAATAAATCTTAAAAAAAAAGAAATATGTTTTGCATGTTGGCCATCCCTCCCCCAAACCCCCACCCCCAGTTACTGGTTTTTAGAACTAGGTTACTATAAGAGGCAGAAAGCCGAGGGCAGGAGGGGAAAAAAAAACTAGGTGGAACCCGAAGTTTATTTCCTCTTGGTGATCATCCACCTGCGGCGTGGCTGCTGGTGGTTCTAATTCAACAACTCTCAAAAAAAAAAAAAAAAATCCCTGAGACTAGGTCGATGGAACATGTAGAATGTAGCAATACCGAACTGCTAGCTACCCACGCTCTTGTTTAAATATGGCGTTGTTCTCCCTTCTCCCTGCCTACCCCAGAGACCCCGCGAAAACGGGCGCCGCGGGGTAAATGAATGAAGGCACCTGGAACCTTGTACACTCTCCTAATCGTGCGTGAAAACAGGTGTGTGAGGTTCTGTGATGTCAGAGAAGTTTGGGCAAAGACTGAGTTCTAAGGTTCGCACTTCCAACACCCGTGCGGGGAGCCTTGGGGTCTAGGTGCGTCCGTTCCCCTCCGTTTCAAGGGCCAGGACGTTTCGAGAAAGCCGGTGGAAGGCAGGATGGGCAGGCAGGTCCGCTGGACTAACCGGGACGCGCAAACACAGGTGGGCTCTGACGCCGCGCAGCACCTGCAGCTCCAAAGCCTTTTTTCCCCCTGTTCTCCAATTTCCCGGGGAGGCTTGTTGCGGAGGTGGAGGCAGCAGTCTTGTATCCTAAGTTTTCCTTAAGAACATCGCAGAGCCAGGAGAGTCAGGTACCACACCACCGGCGACCCACCGCGGCTCCCAGGTGTCAGCCGCCCGCCGCAGCGCGGGAACAAACGCCCCTTCCTCCCGACGCCAGGCTGACGCCCCGGGTGGGTGTGGCCTCCGCCCGAGGCCCCGCCCCCGGAGCGCGTCGCTCGGGCCGGGCGGGGCGGGGCGAGGGAACTGGCGAGAAAGGGCGGCGAGCGGGGTGGGTGTGCTCGTGCCTGCGCGCTCGCGCCTGGCGTGAACACGGGGACGCGCCCTGCGCGCGCAGGGGAGAGGCCAAGCCCGGCAGCCGTTGTGGGGTTCGCCTGGAGGGGCGGGGGCGTCACCTGCGAGCGGCTGTGCCGCCCGCCCGCCGCGTCTGGATCGCGCCGGCTGAGCGGGACCGCTGGCCGTCCACACATCCCGGGAGGTCGGGACGCGGGGACGGACAGAGTCCGCGGGCCGCCGTCCGGGACGAGGACCGGCCGGTTCCTTTTGCCGCCGCTGCCTGCGCCCTGCCGGGTAAGGGGTTGATGGCCCCGCCGGCTGCTTGGCCGGCTGGGAGTTGGGGTTGGGGGCTGGGGGAGGAACGAAACTTTCCGAGCGCTTCCTCCCGCGGTCCCGGGGCCGTCCGCGGCGCGGGGAGGTGTCGTCGTCGCGGGCGGCGGCCGACGCCATGTTGGGGTCTGTGAGAAAACGGGGCGCTCTCGGGCGGCTCCCCCCGCGCTGGGGCCGGCCTCCGGGCAGGTCGCGGTCGCCGTCCCCGCGGGGCCAGCCGGGTCCGGAGCGAGCCGCGCCCCCGGGCAGGACGCCGCCGCCGCCGCCGGGGCTTGGGGGTCCGGCCCGTGCGGATCGGACGCCCGTGGACGCGGGAAGGGGCGCCCCAGGTCGGGCGAGAAGTTGGCGGGGCCCGAGGACCGGGATCCCATGACCAGGGCGGTGCGGTCTCAAGGACCCCCAACGCCTCTCTGTCGGAAAAGTTTGCAGGATCTGGACCTCAGGGCGCCCTTGGAACTGGAAAAGCGTTATTTTTGTGTTTCTAGGGGGCGGGAAGGGTTTGCCCTTGAAGGAAGCGGTGACTTGGTTACTTTATTTCGAGTCTTTTAAAGTTTTGTAGTTTTTTTTTTTAAGCTTTTTTTCCCCCTTTTTAAAAATGTTGCTAAAGGCGAAAGCTTGCGCAGCCGTGTGTACTCTAAGTGCCCGAGGGGTTGCGCCGGGGGCAGGAGCAGAGTTCAGGTCTAGGCTACCTGAGCCCTCTGTAATTCTTTGTTGCGTTCTAGTTCGTGGCTGAAGAGTCTTTTAAAGAAAGGCTTAGACGCAGTGTTGGCCGAGTTCAAGGCATGTGTTCTCTTAAAAATACAGGGATCTTGACATTTCCAAGTTGTTTTCTTGCCCGTGGATCCTTAAAGGATGCCTGGCTTCCGTGTGGTGAGCGTTTGCATTCGTTGGTTTTTTGGTACTGTGGTAGCTCGTGGGGTCCTTAGGTTAATTCTGTATTAACAAAGGCTTCTATTTTTAATCTCCTCGGGTCCTGACAGCACGGGAGGTGAATTGTATTAAATTACTTATTTGGACAGCACATGTAATCGCTTCAAACATCAGACGCGCGCACGCGCGCGCGCACACACACACACACACACACTCATCAGAAGAAAAGATTCTGCTTCAGATGTCCCAGTAAATGAATATAAATTATTTTTAATAGAATAGCTTTGCTGGAAAATTCTGCTAATGAAAGGGCTCTTAATTAAACATGTTTTGGAGAGTTTCTTTTCTTTGTTTTTAACTCTTTTTTGGGTAAAAATCCTAGTTTTTCTGAGATTCGATCATTAATCTTAGTTCTCCAGAATCCTTTTTGTTTTGTTTCATTCTCAAGTAAAATGCCGTCCGTATTTGTTTTTGCTGATGAAGGGTGAGTTAGGAGAGGTGGCCTCACACACCCAGTTGCCAAGAAGGGTGTGTTATTAACAGAGGTTTTATGACTCTGAAGCCGTCTGATTTTTTCTACAGTGTGACTTTGTAAGGTACATGACGCATTCCTGTGGCGCAGGCTCTGTCCACCTTGTTTATTCTGATTACTGTTCTTTCTGACTGGAACTTAGTACTTGAGTGTAAGGATTTGCTAGGGAGCTGATTTACAAAGGGTTGTTACAGCAGACTTTTCTTCTGAAAAGTAACTCACCTGAGCCTGTGTGCTGAGAAGACCTTTCTGCCCTGAATTCCAGTCCGTGTCCTTTGTCTAAGCAGAACCCAGTTCCCTTCCCCCTGGGTGTCCTGGCTGTTTGTCCTGGAGCCTCCTTGACAGCAGGCTTCTCATCAGGTCTGAACTGAGAACGTAGCAGATGCTGAGAAAGGCTTTGGATGGGCTGCACATATGTGTGCTCCTTGTAAATAAGCTTCATGAAGTTCTTATTAAATTGTTAATTTCCACAGGCCTTGTGATTAAATCTGCTCTGACTACCATAAGCTCCATTACTCACAGATTGGCTGATGGTACCTTTTCTATTAGAATTTACCTTGTTGACGAGTCTTGTCCTGGAGGTACAGAATTTGAATATTTATGAAATTTCCAGTAGATAATGGATTGATGTAGAATTGCTGATGTATGGAAAGAAGTTGTGGAATCACCAAAAGGATCTTAATTGTTATGTTTAAATATAATTGAAATTACTTACTCTTAATGTAAATTTTTTTAAAGATTTATTTATTTTTATTACCAAGTCAGATATACAGAGAGGAAGAGAGACAGAGGGCAAGATCTTCTGTCCAATGATTCACTCCCCAAGTGAGCGCAACGGCTGGTGCTGTGCCTGTCCGAAGCCAGGAGCCTGGAACCTCCTTCCAGGTCTCCCATGCGGGTGCAGGGTCCCTAGGCTTTGGGCAGTCTTCCATTTATTTCCCAGTTCACAAGCAGGGAGCTGGATGGGAAGTGGAGCTGCTGAGATTAGACCAGCACCAATATGGGATCCAGGCGCCTTCAAGGCAAGGACTTTAGCTGCTAGGCCATGGTGCCGGGCCCTGAATTTTTTTTTTTTTTTTAAGATTTATTTGAAACACAGAGTTAGCAGGGAGAGGAGTAACAGATGTCTCTGACATCTCACAAGGGTGCCAGTTCCCGTTCTGGCTGTTCTGCTTTGGATCCAGCTCCCTGCTAATGCTCCTGGAAAAGCAAAGGAGGATGGCTGAAGGCTTTGGGCACCTACAGCCTTTTGGCATTTCTGGCTCCTGCTTTCAGCCTGGCCACCTGGCCAAGCCCCGGCCGTTACGGCCATTTGAGAATGAGCTAGCGAATGGAGAACACTCTCTCCCCTACTCTATAAATCTGCCTTTCAATTAATAAAATAAATCTTAAAAACAAAATCTTCCAGTCTCTGCAGTGGACAAGATTGCCCATGTTGAAGGCAGAAGACTGGAACTCCCTGGGGGTCTCCTGTGTAGGGGCAGGGACCCTAGGACTTGAGCCATCTTCGTAGGTGCAGGAAGCTGGTTTGGAAGCAAAGCAGCTGAAACTTAATGGTATTTCCATATGGGAGACTGGTGTCACCTGTGTCAGCTTGACCTGGTGTGCCACATGCTGGCTCTGGCAATACTATTAAGACCTGATGATTTTGAAGGTCGTACTCTCGTATTTTAGCCCTTTGATCGAGCCATCTGATTATTACTCCACTGATTATTGTTTTGGCAGAATTGTGTTGGAGTTTTGTTTTAAAATGTGTGCTTAGTGGAAAGCAAATGCAAATTGCCCTTCTGTTAGTAGGTTTATGTTTGAGAACCAGTTTTGGACAGGAGCTGCCTGTTTAACAGTGCTGGCTTAGCTGTAAAAGCGAAGCAAATGAATGGGAGGCATACTTTTATGGTTATTAATTTCAGTTGCAAAATTTCTGAGGCTAAGGTGTTTAGAAATTCTGTAATGACTATAGAATTTGAAATTAATTTCCTGCTGCCATCCCTGGTCAATAATCTGCAGGACAAAAACAAGTGCTTCATTTGGGGAGGTCCTTGGGAGAGAAGGCATTCAGATAGTTTCTGTGAGTATAGTAGAAAACAAGCAGATTGGGTGTAGGGTGGACTGGAATAAAACTATCTGAAATTGATTCTGATAGTTGCTAACTTGTGACTGTTGAACAGTTCACTGCACTTGGGGCTGGTGCTGTAATGCTACAGGCCAATACTCTGCTTTTGGGCACCAACATACCATATAGGTACCGGTTCATGTTCTGGATATTCTACTTCCAATCCTGCTCTCTGCTTATAGCCTGAGAGCAGCGGAGGATGGCCCAAGACCTTGGGACCCTGCACCCACATGGGAGACCCAGAAGAAGCTCCTGGCTTTGGGTAGCTCAGCTCCAGCTATTGCAGCCATTTGGGGAGTCAATCAGTGGATAAAAAAACTTTCTGTCTCTCCTTCTCCTTGTAAATCTAATAAAAATAAATCATAAAAAGAACCAAACCCAAAAAACAAGTTACTTCTCATAGCTTTCTGTGTGAAACAGATACAGAAATGTTTGCCTTACAGTGTTGTAAAGATTCACTAAGAGGTTTATGCAAGTGTCTGGCATGTGATGGTGTTATTTTAACATCGATTGTGGCATTGAATTATATGGAATTCTGGAGTTTAAATTTTTTTGAATAATTGTTTTATTTTTTTATAATGGTTACATGCTTGGTTAGGGTGGGAGGGAAAATTTGGTGAACTTATTTCCAAATTTGCTATTTCTTCTTGTTTCTGGTAGAGAGATAAAGGTGGAAGCAACACATGACTTTCTAAACATCCCAGTACCCAAGGGTGAGGAACTGCCACCTCCTGTCACCCCAAAATCTCAGTGTGTACATATTCCAAGGGTTCGGTCCAAGTGGTTTGTCAAATGCTGTTGATTTTACCAATCCAAGGATAATGCAGCCCTCTCAGTGTCCATTGGCTGACATAATTGATCTCAAGTCTCCATTCACCGAGTTGTTTTTTTTTTTTAATATTTATTTATTTTTATTACAAAGTCAGATATACAGAGAGGAGGAGAGACAGAGGGGAAGATCTTCCGTCCAATGATTCACTCCCCAAGTGGGTGCAACACCCGGTATTGCGCCGATCTGGAGCCCCGGAGCCAGGAGCCAGGAGCCAGGATCTTCCTCCAGGTCTCCCACATGGAAGGAACTTAAAGCATTGGGCCGTCCTCGACTGCTTTCCCAGGCCACAAGCAGGGAGCTGGATGGGAAGTGGAGCTGTTAGGATTAGAACCAGCGCCCATATGGGATTCCAGCACATTCAAGGCTACGCTGGGCCCTCACTGAGGTTTTTTGCTATCATCATCTGGCTGAGGCGATTGTTCAGTTTTTCTGTTCTCTTTCCTCTGAATTTAATTTTTTTTTGTAAGGAAAGTAACCTTTAGGAATACCCAGTCTAGTGTTCAACCTTTACTACTCATGAGTTCCTGAGACTGGACTATAGAACAAATAAATCATAAATAACTGGCTTTAGGACCAGGGTAGAGGCAGTTTTGCCTACTTTCATCTTGTTTTTAAAATCATGCTTGATTTGATTTTTTAATCTTTTAAGATTTTAAAATTTTTGTTTTCCTTTATTTAAAAAGCAGAGACCCACATCTTCCAGAAAATACATCTTCCAGCTGCAGGTCCACTGCCCAAATGACTGCAACACCAAGGGCTGGGCCAGTCTAAAATCAGGAGCCTAGAACTCCATCTGGATCCCTCTTAAGGGTGATGGGCCAAAATACTTGACCCAGGGTACACACCAGCAGGAAGCTGGATCCAGGACATCAACTTACATGTGATGTGTGTGTTGCTAGTGGCATTTTAACCACTGCTGCAAATACCCACCCCAACTGTCAATTTGAATGTGTAGTCACGGTTGATGCCCTTTGATTAATTCCATTTCTCATTTCCTTTTTTTAGTTTTGTAATAAAGGAAAAGTTAAAGAGTGGGTAAGTGTCTACCAAAACCGTTTTAGTCAGGCTCTGAAGCATATATATACAACTGAGGAAGGAAAAGTGCATAGAGGTTAAGTAGCAGTTAATTAATTTCTTGCCTGAAATGCCACATTTGAAAGTAGTTCATTAGTAGCAGTGACCGTCACATTTGTTCTACGTAGTGACCTACAGGTATAGCTGTGGTATTTAACCTTGTCACCGTTTAACAACTACTCTGGCTCAAGCCTTAGATCCTGTGGCCCAGTCTGTATTCTTGGTCTTTGTTTTGTTTTAAAGATGTATTTATTTTTATTGGAAAAGGTCAGATTTATATATAGAGAGAGACCTCAGAAAGATCTTTTCATCTACTGGTTCACTCCCCAAATTGTCACAATGCCCAGAGCTGAACCAATCTGATGCCAGGAGCTTCTGAGTCTCCCACGTGGGTGCATGGTCCCAAGGCTTTGGGCCATCCTATACTGCTTTCACAGGCCATAAGCAGG